CCCCAAAACCCCAAAACCCCAAAACCCCAAAACCCCAGGTTTCTAACTGAGTGTTGGAACTAACAAAAAGAATTTGAGATAATTCGATTTCAATGATTTCTGATCTTAGACCTCCACCAAAATTTCGAAAAGTATTTTTCATGACAGTTGAGTAAACTTAAATACCCAAAAGAGTTTGAGCATTAATGAAGGTCTGGTGTGTAGGAATTTCCTGCTCAGGGGTTCAATTTCAGAGATTTTAGCTAATTCACTTTGCCCACTTGCTCAGCCCCAATCTTTGGAAATTTTCCTTTCAAAGCTAGGGCAAGCTCTGAGGGCTAAAAATTGTGCGACATCACACTTAGACCCTGACGATTAACTCTTATATAATCATTTATGCTTTAGAGATGCTTTAGAAGTATAGAAAAGAACTTCTAAATTACTGTTGACAACTTAGAAACAAATAAATGCTTCAAAATTCGAATCTTTCAACTTTACCAGCTATCGAAACCCACTATTTATTGGTTTACGAGGTAGGCTAAGGACAAAGAGTAGATTTGTGTCAGAATCCTCCCAATTCTTATCAATATTCCTCTGATGCTTCTAAGAAAATTGTAACAGTAAAGAGAAGACTCTTAGCCTTCCTCTGTCAGAAGTTCTTAAATTTGAAATCGATAGAAACTACCAGTCAAGTGAGGAACTTCTGACATGTATATAACCAGCAGCCAGTTCCTATTCTAAGAATTCGAAATTTTTCAGAAATCTTAACTTTGAGCATAAATTCAGGAAATATTAGGGATTGCCCTCAAAAACAGAACGAAAATTGACTGTAAAACCCTAACTAGCTTCCATATTGATATCTGACTTCTGATGAAAATAACAACAAATTAACCACGAAGCATTTTTCGTCACCTCAAAAAGGCGAGGAGAAGGAATTCACCGAACTTGCTAATATTTATGCACTCATGGAAGGAAATAATTTTGAAATAAATTTAATCATCCAGGTTATTTCAGCCAGTGGTCGTAAAAATGTCTCGAATTTAATTTATTTCGCAGAAGTATAGCCTCAAGAGAGCCTCCGATCAGACTTATAACAGATTTTTTGAAGAACCTAAGCAAGCTTTACCACAAAAGGCCTTCAAAAGCATCATAATTTCCAATTTTTTCTTTCTGGTAAAGAAATTTGAAGAAAATGTACGCTTTAAGAGTACAAACTAGAGCCTTGAGGACTCAAAGAACACCTGAGTAAGTACTAGAAGAATTTCTGGCATGTTGAATACCTATATAGGACTTCTATCAGTCTTTCCCTGCACCCATAATAATTTTTAAACCCTCCCCTGGCCAATAAGGAGCCCGAATACAAAACAATTTGAAGAACTCAATTATTATATCATGAAATTACAAGGTCACCAGAGCTTCACTAAGAAGCGAGGTAGGTTACTAGAGGCACTTAAGCAGTCCTGCTATAGGTGTCGTAGTACCACTTATAGATCTGGCTTTCAGACAGACCTATTTTCTTGCCGAGCTTGATTCTCTTCGACTTTACCAATTGCTTTTGGCCGGGTCCGAGGGCATCTATCATCGCTTGTACTTGCAGAGAAGTTTTATCGCTCCTATCTCTCACATATCTTTTAATCTTAGGGTTCTTGGGCTTACTCTTGCCCAAAAAGCAGTGATTAGAGCATTCTTGAACCACAGCTTCGATTCCTTTAGTTTCCATCTCTCTTCTCACAAGTTCTTCAACAGTCTTAATGAAGTTTGAATCTTCTGGTGACTGGTATTCATCATTTTTCTTTTTGTTCTCAGATTGTTCGGCATTCTTCTCATTAGAAGACTCAGTTGATACTTTTCACACCTCTTCTTGCAGTAACTTGTAATTAAAGTCTATAATCACTGGATTAGGATATGTCACACGGGTCCATTCATGATATGGAAACTACTATTCTCCAAATTGACGCAAAAACCCTCTCAGATTTCTGACAGGATACTACCGATTCAACATTTCTTATGGGAAAATAAGGGAAAATGATGAAAAGTGAACTTACAATTAAACTGCTCGTCGCAGGGCTCATAAGGGAACTCAAATAAACTTAGATTGTCATTCATTTTGGAGTCAATGTTCCAGATTTCCATTGAATATAGATAAGTAGTCAGTAATTTGTATTAATTATAATTCTTTTCTCACAATTTATATTCTCGTCTTGGGGTTTTGGGGTTTTGGGGTTTTGGGGTTTTGGGG